GAAGTTTGAATTCTGAATATGAGCGACTTTTCCTTTAACTGTGTGCAGTCACAGGCTTTTTCCTTTGGTTTGACATTTGGTGAATAATATTACTTGACTAAAATAACTTCATAGAAAGCTCTGTGAGAATTGCTTTCACCTGCTCTCCCTCTGCTATAAACTGTCGTGCTTTATTTTTATTCTATTTTTGACATAGTTTTCATTCTATACTGTCTACGAGCAGGCTGGCCATCAGATGGGGGTATCTTTCTTTTTCAGGTGATGCTGTAAATCTTTACTTGATGTTTGGTTCGTATTTCTCCACCATCTCACTGTAAATAATCCGTAAAGTAAGACGAGGCGTTTCTATGCAACACAAGCACAACCCAAAAATATAGGCCATGAAAAAGTTGCTGCCTGGTCAGCGGCTTGTATCATTGACGGTACGGTCAGATGGGACAGAAAATCAGAAAGTAATCATTATTTTATCAGTAGAAGAAGCTAAATCTGAACCACAACACTAAGCTTTCCTAATCTTTGTAAGCATATTGCTTCTTACAATAAGCCCAATAGGAAAGCTTCCCCTACAACACAGATTAGATTAGTCAAGACAATAAAGGTTTTATGTGAGTTAAATAAAGCACTGATGGGGGATTTTTATGGCTTCATTTAGACCAGTTACCAGGTATTTATTAGGATGGTTATTGAATGTTGGGCCTGGCAGCCATCCCAGTGGTACTCTGCTCGGCCCAGTGCAGATAATTAGAGCAGTTCTGGAGGGTTAACCCATCTCAGTGACCACAAAAGAGCAAGACAGCTCACTGCTGTACCTCTCGTTTGATGTCTGCCCACCTTTGTCTCCACACCATCAACCTGAATGTCAACCAATTGGGACAGTGCAAGGGCTTGACATTATGTCTGCAGGTTATCATTATATGTATTTTTTTTTTACCTGATCGATCGGCTGGAGTCTGCAGTCCTGCTCCTGGGGGTATCTGTCACTGCCTGTTAGCTATTGACCAGTGGATATCATTAAGAGCGAGCACGCCTGCTTTGGGGAGGCTTTGTTGTAGGGAGGGGTTGTAGAGAACCCAAGCCGTTTGCTTTTAGCCTCCTGGACTAAGCTGACCTTTCACTTAGGGAGCAGCTGGAGCTGAGAGATATTTAATTGAACGGAGTCTTTAGATGTGTTTTGGAGAAAGCAGGGAAGATACCGTTGGCTTAAGCTCAGGGAGAAAGAGAAAGTGAAGGGTGGGAGAAAGAGATTCTGTTTGACCTTCAGCGCCTAATTGATAGGCTTCTCATAGACCTCGTTTGAGATGAACGTGGTCCCTGTTGTTCAGAAGGCCCTTACTATTACTGTGAAAGTACAAAGTCAACCGCAGGTAGAGAGCCCCTAGTGGCCCGCCGCGATCAATAGAAGCCGGCTCAGCAAACGAGGGAAGCAGGCGCTCCTCAGCTTTCACAGGCCCCATTAGCAGTCAGTGGGCAGCCTAATTCTACTGGTTAATGTGGTGAAATGGGGCCAACCTTAAAAAAAAGCAGCCTGGAGAAAAGCTGTTGTTCATGGCTTCCAGAGGAAATCAAAACACAACTGCAAATTGACCTCTAGTGTTATACGCAGCGTTGAAAGAACAGAGAAACACATCAGAACAAACTCCGTATACCTACAGTATTTACCCACAAAACTATGTTGGTCTCTGTCTTACAGTTTATCCAATAATTTGACATAAACCTAGAAGAGAAACTTTTGGGCATAACTTAGAAAAATAACTTCAGCTACTTTTGGTCCCCATAAACCCTTTACAGAAAACTGTGTAAACTAATGGTTGTTTTGCTTAGGGCTGTGTTTGCATTCATAAACTGCGATGTGGTGCCTGCTTTTTATTTAAGCATTTCTTGCTATCTCAATAAATGCACACAGTCTTGGATCTGAGGCTGTTCTGGTCATGCAGGTCGATCTCTGAAGGGAAAGATGGATATTGCTTCACAAGCAGCGTTGAACTTTTTCATAGGGATTAGGGTTATCCTTATCGATGATGTGTGAGTCTGTTAAACCTTAAAGGAATAGTACACCCAAAACATGATTA